GGTCACACATCCGCCGAAGTTATTTGGGCACATCACGCGCCATGTTCTATATGTGTTGACGGTCCGTATGGGCGCGATGCCACACTCTGGTCCCCTCATCTGTTGGCCGGACCACCCTCGAAACACAGTTCAACTGGGCAGCAGTGACAACAGTTTCATCACCCGCTGGCAGCCGCCGCTGCCTCCCCTGACCCTGGTGATGTCACACCTGAACCCGTGACCCCGGTCCGCCCGGGGTCACGTGACGTCACACACAGCGATCGGCGACGTCACGGCAGCGCCGGGGGTAATGAGGCGTGGCTCCGAGCGGGCGCGTCCTCAGCCGAGCAGCGCCGCTCCACCGCTGACCTGGCAAACAGATAACGACGGCTGCGGAGGCCGCCTTGCAGCGCCCAGACAAATTCAGCCCGTCTGAGAGAAACTGCCAGCGGCGGCCCTTTATTTGTGGAGAAGTGGGGAGCCGCCAGCCGAGCTCAGCCCCAATGCGGCCGCGTCTTTTGTGAAGCTCTTTTTAATTACTGCATTCTCACGGTTGGCTCGGCTGACGAATTGTGGCGTCATCACTTTCAGTCGCACGCAGTGGCTTGATGTGGATTTTTTCCGCTGTCGGCTGTTCTTAGCGTGCCTACGGAACTTGGTCTGGCTGGGTCGCGGTCGGCGCTTTCTGGCTGGCTCGCTGCAATTTTCCGCGAAGGAGAGTATGCTGAGAATGTGCCATTTCTGGCAAAATTCTGGACTGGGAGCAGAATGTCAAGCTGATGGTAGGACCACTGGCTTCGGACAGCTGTGAAGTCGTTCCATGTTGAACAGGACGGACCCAGGCTTGTTCGCCGTCTCCTTTGATTAGTCAGCAATTAAATTTTTGCATTATTTTAATTAAGTACTAAGTAGTCAAGAAAAATATTGGAAATAAAAAGTGCTTCCCGTCTAAAAAAAAATTATTTGAATTACGAATGCAACAACTTACTGCCCAATGCCCAATTCTTAGATCGTTAAAACCTTAATATGGTGAAAGGTCTAAATTCAAACTTCATCTTTTTTGCGTCACCTATGTTAATCTCTTTTTCTCTCGTAATGAGTCATCAATGGGCAGCGCTGTCACACGCCAGGGGACATCCCCGACCGACGACCGACCGGTGATGGAAATGTCGGCCCATCTGCGACAAATCTGACGCGCCGCCGCGCCACCGGCGACTCGCTGACAATATCGGCGCACCGGCGGCCGCTGACCGCCGCTAAATCATCGTTATCGGCGCGGTCCAGCGGCGCCGGGCGCGGATGGAGTCGCGCCGACAGACCCCCAGCTGGGCGGCGCTTATTGCGCGTGCGGCGGCAGATCGGACAGCGGCCCCAGCTGGGACACTTTCAGCCCGGATCAGAGACGACCCCAACGACCCACCACCGCTGCTATAGCCGTAACGGCAGTGCCGTGGCTGAACCAATTGAGCGCGAGGCGTAGAGACGAGTGCTAACGGTCCTTTGGGCGGACCAAGTGCGAAGTGCAGCGCCCCGGTCGGTCGGTCGGCAGCTTCTGAAATCGTATGCTTTATGCAGGTCGTGTCGATGCCAGTGAGCAGCTGTTGCGGCGAATTACGAGTCCACTTGGGGCGCACCTTGGCGCTCACGGGCAGCGGGGGACGGCTGCAAAAACGCAGTCGGCACTTAGTGCGGCGCTGGTGGGGCTGCGGCCGGTCTTATGCCTGCACTCCTGCTGCGCCGCTACTGCGCTACTGTTCGCCGCCGCCGCGCCAGTGCTCGGCACCGCTGTGTCACTTTTGATGTGTCGCACGCGCGCTGCTTTGTGAGGCGCGCCGAGTGCGATGCAGCTCTGCGAGGGGTCATCGTTCGCACCTTCCCCGCGCACGTTCCAGCCCCGAGTGAAGGCGGCCCTTTATCACTGTTCAGTTGAGGGACTGCCTCGCAGGCTGCCTCGGGGGCTGATGAGTGAGACAGCCAAGCGGTCCTGACGCAAAGAAATGTGTCATATGTTTTCATAACACGTTGGCACGCAGGTGAGTGCTGTTTCGCATTAGCCGGGTCAAATTGAGGCGCTAAAACACAGGTAGGAGGGGGGATCGGTGCTGTGACTGAGGGGAGGCTGCATGTCAGATAAAGTGCAGGGTGGTTAGACGATAGGTTACTGACCCACCGCGCTGCACACGGATAGGACAGGTGGATACACTGGGGGGGGGGGGGGTGAGACGTGCGACGTGCCAGGAATTCGGTCATCGCCCATCGTAACAGTGCAGGTTTGATTAAAAAATATCAAATACAATGCAATTAAAATACATCCAACATGCTTGTCATACAATTGCTCAGTATGAGCCTGCAGTAATTTTTTCCAATGCTCCCGAAGCAGGTTATTGTGCTCGAGTCTCAACATACGAGTACAGCGTGACCTTGCTGATCATTAGCTGACCACTTCTGTCCTACGTCTACAGCTCCCTGCTCTCTGTCCTTGCCGCCCCAGTGCTCTGCCCTCCCCCTCACCAACCACAGTTTATTTTCATTTACCATGCTGCGATGCGTCGGCTATTTTTCCGGTCAAAGGTGGCTAATTGATCACGGGTATGGAAAATTATCTGGGTGATAGCAGGTCCGGCCTCATCTATTGCATGTCCATTCTTTTGTCGAGAGACTGAACTGAACGTGTGGTTACGCAAAAATGTGTCGATGAATTTTAGCACATTGTGGGTCGTAATGATTATCGTCCCCCAATTCTTTGTGAACCACCACGTGCTGCTTTTAATGGGCCGGCTGATAATTGTGACACCAAATGGGTGGTCGTCCCTCATCAGTTTTATACCATGCATGATAAATGAAAGGTCTACACGAAAACATCCATATTCGCGAGTTTTTAAACGTTCAATATTCCTCTTCTGGGATTGAAGGTCTCCTGCGATTCACTATAATTATGCCCGTGAACAGCAACTGTATGGTCCCCATGGACTCTGTGATCCCTTTGAATTGCCCTGCAGCATTGGGATTTAAGCGTAATTGCCTCAGCGTGGCTATAGTCCCGGCCGCAGCGTAATTAAATGGAAAGTGATACTACCACCAAATCCTGTAATGCTATTTCAGTGTAGTTTACTACAGCTGTCATGCAGATAGCATGCATAATGGGCGCTGGAACATGGATAGAGCACTATACAGAAATGTCGGTACCGACAGCAAATATAGGCAATAAAACGCATGTAGCGTGTGCATATTGCTGCGATCGATGAAGACTCCCTCCAATGAACTCCGTCCTTCATGACCCGCCGCACTTATTTCCACTCTGCCAACGGGAGTTATTGGTATGCCCGCATATCCTCCCCGACCGGAGAGTAGAGACCCGCTCTCCACCCGTGCCGGCGAGAAGGGAGCGCGTCTCCGTCTGCCGCGTACTTCACGGCGAGCCGAACAATGCGCCCTCGTCTGTCTTCCCCGATAATGGCGTCGCTCTTCAGTGGGCAACAGACTTCAGAGGTGATGGCGCCTCCTCACGCAACGCAACAATGCCGGCGCGCTCAGCATCGGCCGAGCCACGCCAGTCGCCAGACAGCGCCTCTCAAATAATTCTCACGAGCCTCGGCAACTGACAGAGTCTGCCTGGTTGCAAGCCAACTTATGTTCTGAGTTTTTCGTATGATAAAGTAATTGGCTATTGTCCAATGCCCATTCCTCTGGTGCGCATAGGTCTGCGGACCAAATGTGTCGCCTAAATCTGCATATTCCTTATGTCTGCCAGATTCTACTCAACATGACTCGGACAATCTATGTATTGTATGCGTCTCCCAAATTTTTCCCAAAATATATCGATGTCTCTAAAGATGTCCGCAGCGAATCAGTCTGCTCCAATGTCTTCCAAACCTCCCCAGAGAGCCGGTCTGCCCTCAGAATTTACCCAGTGAGCCGGGGCCGCCCTCAGAATTTACCCAGTGAGCCCATCGGTCCCGACGCGCCAGCCCATCGGTGCCGACGCGCCAGCCGTTAGTCATAAATCGCCTGAGGCGGTCGCGATACAATCTCCGGAATCGGAGGCGCCTCGCGCGCCAGCTGCCCGACCGTGCCGTGTGTGGGACACGGAGCAGTCACGGGAGAGTTGGCTCGCGAGGGGGGCTAAGGACTGTCTCCGGTCTCAGCAGACAGCAACTAACCGCCGGAGGCGATGATTAACCCAGCGACAGCTGCTGCAGCGCCGCGGCGGAGAGTTTAGCGATGTGGCGGCATCGGCCGTCGTGTCGGTGGTCATGTGAGCAGGAATGAAGGAGCCAGGAGTTGGGAGAAGGGAGGGACTCCGAGCGCTCCCGGTATTCGGAGTTTTTGAATTACGATTCTGAGTTACGAGCGCTACGAAGGTGCCTCGGAGTCAGCCTGTGATTTAATTCGTGCCTGAGATGGCCGTCCCATGCCGGTGGCGGGACGCTGGAGGGACGTTTCACATGTTGCACATGTGGCTCGACGGAAAACGACGGCCCTTCTGAGTGACAAAGTGGCGCTAAAGCGGCGACGACGGCGGCGGGGCGTCAGAAACGGCCGGGCCGCAGCAGACCGTGACGAGTCGGGCGGTAATGTCACATTGTCGCGGCAGCCGGGAGGGAGGGCTGCACGGGCGCCGCGGCGGCTGCCGTCAGGTATGCACAGCTGTGGCCCGCTAATGGCGTCCCGCTGCAGATTAGTCATCATGAATGACGATCGGAGTGCCTCGAACGGTGCCGTTTGTGGCCGGGAAATGTGACCTGGAAGGAATGGGTGACGTCATGGATCGTCTCCCGGGCTGCCAGGTCGCATTGTGGACGTGACCGGAACCATAGATGGGCTCATTCAAAACGATTCCGGGCGTAAGTGCCTGTTTAAAGGGGCCGCAGGCTATGAACGTTTGCCTTATTTCAAAAATTGTGTTTGATCACAGTTGCATACTGAATGTCGAACTCTTCAAGCCTGAAATATTACTTGCGTCCTCTTCTCAAAACGACATGGAGATAACAACGACTGACTCCAAACCGATCTGTTTGCAGTGCTGAGCCGAAACGCCTTCTGTTCGGGCTACGTGGACAGCTTCGGGAAGTGGAACAATGGCTTTCCGTGTCCGCGGATTGACGACGAGGAGGTGTTTTGCTGCGGGACGACCACCTACCGGTACTGCTGCAGCGGCCGCGTCGGCTCCGACTACGACGGCGACTCGGACCGAGCCGCCGCCGACTTCCTCAGCGAAAAGTGAGTCGGGCGGGAAGGGGGGGGGGGGAGATAACTTATAGGGAGGCCAAATATTTATCTAAATATGTCGAATTGTCGTTTTTTCACATGTGATCGTGCTACGAATTATAATAGGCCCGTACTTTATTTGGTTTATTATCTGCAGTTTCCTGTGCGTGTTCAAAACCCTTTGTTTGTTCGCTCTGTTCGCATCCCATTACGGTTTATATAAGAAATAAATAATAATACCTTATAGTTATACATACTACGAATTACGATCCGTATTGACAGACCCTGCCGTCATATTGTCTACTCCAGAGTAGCGAGAGCTGGGTCAACGAGGTATCAGTCATCGCTTTAGTCCCTGTACTTTCCGTTTTTGTAGCATGCACGATCAATTTGTGGGGGACTTGGCAGGTTTGATCGGACTGTTTTGCCGCGTGCTATGATGGCGATCCGTGTCTGTTCTCGCCCGGCTGTCCTGTCCGGTCGCCTGGCTACCCTGCCCGATCGCCTGCGTCCGTACCCGAAGCTGCCTGGTCGGGCGGCCCGTGGACAGCTCTGGTGCGGTGTTTACACAGGATCACCAGAGAGGTCCGATGCTGCTCCAGCCCGCGCCGTGTGTATGTCAGGGAGGACTGATAAGGGACCGCCAGCGCCGTGCAGTCCCGGCCCTAATCGGCCAGCTGAGGTATACAGTCGGCCGAGTTTCGGCAGCCTGACGCTCCGGATTGACTGCTGAGCTGATAAATCAAACTCTGTCTGGTCAAATACCCGGAGGTGTTTTCACTTTGGACGACGTCTGGAATGTATTTGTGTATATTGATCAGCGCCGATCAAGGTCACTGTTGGACAACTTTTGCCGTCTGCGGCTTACCATCTTATGAATTTCGAAATGAAAGTGATGGGATGCCTGCATAGCTGAGTTTGGAAGATGGATGGGAAATCTGAAGGTCACGCAGCATGTTAACTTCACATGTTTGAACTAAGCTGCATGCAGTTCGCAGCAATATTTTTCAGCCACTTGCAAGGTTTAATAGCAAATTTGTACGATCAGAAATTAATTTTCATCTCACATTTCACATCCAACCATGATCATTTGCTGTGTAGGTATAGCTTTTATTACAGCGCAAATACGTCGTTGCTGTATAGGTACAATCTGTGCTTATATGCTCAACAGTGTTTCAGCGTATGGCCGTATTCGTCGACAGGACGCACTTCTGCTGCACCTAATATCTCAGGCCGGCAGATGGAACTGGGCCAATCCGTTTCTGTTAATTAAGCGGGCCTTCTCTGCTGATGACGTGATCAAAGTGGCGCAGAGAGCGTCACGTGCCCGGCTCCCATGTCTCTGGGCTAATGAGCGGTCATCAGGGCACGACTCTCCGCCCCGTGTGCTGCCGTGTCCGCGGTATTACACCGCGCGTGGAACGACACACCCCGGGTGTTTATGAATCCACTAACTGGCACACCCTGAATGTTTATCAATGCACAAATTGGATGCTCGCGTTCCTCGTCCTTGGTGAGGTCCTTAGAGACGGTTTCAATTACATCCCGAACAAACAACTGCAGCTCGTTTGGGACAAAACACCCAGGTAATGTAATACAACTGGGCCAGCATGAGAGAAGGCGTCTGGCAGCTGATAAAAAGCAGATCGCACGCCTGTTGTCGGCTGAGCGGGTCAGGGGAGACGACTGCACCTCCTGACACGGCGAAATGCGCCCACCAGTGGGTCACTGGCCGCACCCTCGCTGGTCGTCTCATGATCGCTCGTTTGGAACATGTCAGCTGTCAGCTCGTATTGTGAGCCCTGCGTTTAGCACACGTCTTACAATCGCGTCCGTTAGGACTCATGTCCCATTACCGAAAACAGGTCAGGCTAATGAGGCCGTGCTGTGTGGATGTGCTCAGCAGTGACGGCCACAGCGGCTGCCATGTGTGGTGTCTGCCGCTGAACTGACGGCTGCCCGGCAGATGACAGTCTGTTTATGCGTGTAGAGGACTCCCAGGGCGGCTCCCAGAGTCCGGCAGACTGCTGAGTGGCCCGCGGAACCCATAGTAGTCCTGACAACGTGATGACAGAACGATTTATGACGCTGTTCCGGCTTCTTTAAGTGCAAAGTGGCGTGATACTGCTTACGTGGTCTGCAGACAAATGAACATGATCGTACACTGGTTTCTTGTTGAAATGTTATCTCGAGCGTATATTCAAATATCTTTGATGTACCGTAAGGTGGGGCTATTTGAGACAGTGGGGCTATTTGAGACAGTATTTAAAATTGTTATAAAATAAAAACCGTTTGAAATTTATACTTAATTTTTGCTGAAGCGATTTACTGCTCGATTCCACACCTTCCTGAGCAAAAATATCACATAAAAATTAAACGATCCTCATTTTATAGCGATTTTAAATACTGTCTCAAATAGCCCCACTGTCTCAAATAGCCCCACTATACGGTAGCACTGAATTTTTTACGCCTAAACCGTGCAGGGAAGTATTTATCTGACAAAGGACAGTGCTTCTAACAAATGTTCGAATTGAATCTATCTAAAACTCGGTGTCGCGAGTGGGACACGGTGTTGTCACTGCCACTCACTCCCACTGGTACAGGGGGAGGGGAGGTAGGGGAGGTACCGGGGTCCGGCTGTCATCCCCAGCAGACGGAGCGGCAGCGGCCGGTGCCAGCCGGGCTGTCATCCGCCCGTGTCCTCACACCGCAGAGGCCCCAGGCAGGGGTGGCCGACCCATAGTCACGTGACGCACTGATGGGCCGGCGGGCGGCGGCACGTGACCTGACGACAGCCGCGGCCCCGTGTCACGCCGACAGGGCCAGGTGGCATGCTGGTTGTCATGGCGACACTAACCGGACAGCTGTGCCGCCGCGGCGGAAAATTTCAGCGGTGACAGATGTCGAGATATGGGCTAATGGCGGGCTACTGCACTGAACGCTGTCAGCCCCTGACGTGCTGCAGGCTAAAATGGACAGGGTCCCGATCGATTTTGAAAGGACTCAATTGAGAAAATGTGTTATAATATCGGCGAATATATCATTATTACGGGCTACGGCATTGGCTATACAGTCTAGTGTTCGGTGTTGGCATTTCGTAGTATTGGATACATTTCGTCTCTTTTATTTTTTAATTAGATCATCTTTTCCATGTCTGTGTTACCACCAAGCAGTCGTATAGTAGTAACCTTCCTAATTAATATGTTAAGATAAATATTCACATCCTTCCACATCGACTAAACGCATGCCCAAATAGAATAAACTAGGGTGACCCGCGTGCTTCGCAACGCGAAAAGGGGTATTTTCGATCGGCGGGTGTTTGGTTGTTCTTGTGTCGGTTGGGTTGTCTATCCATTTCGGTCGATTGCTTTTTGACGGTTAAACGTTTTGGTTTGGAAAAAATATCCACCGCATCGAGGTGCCCGTGTCTGATAAGCATGCTTTCCACTTCAGAATCTGTCAAATGTGCTTTATAATTGAGGTGCGTAGTTTTATGACAAATTAAAGGCGTAGATAATTTTCACTAAAAATCGTTTTGCAGAGGTTTGAAACATTTATATTTTTAAGAATACTGTTGCTTGTTATGCAAACGTGATGATTGGATCTTGGAGAGAATTGAATGCTCTTTCTAATGATAGCATTTTCAATTGTCAAGCGTATCAGGTTAAGCAGCAAATCCCGTGTATCTTTTTAGTGGCACATTATGGACAAATACCATTTTAATTCAGCGATTTTTTCCACATTGTTTTTGATCAATTAGCTTTTCACAATTTTTCCATGAGAGACGGTAGGGGAAGTTGGGGCAATGCCGGAGTTGGGGCAAAGCCGAAATTCGAGATATCTCTAAAACCGTACGACATGGATGCCACGTCTCAGTGATGCTCTGAAGCTTAAGTGACTACAATTATCGCATGTTTGTTACGAGTTGTCATTTGGAATACTTCGGCTGTGAGGGCGCCAAAAGCGTTTTCAAGTACGTTTCCCTTGTACTACATGCGCCTTTGAAGCTACAGTTCTTACTCATTATGCTACCGTTTGTCTGGCCAATTCGGTCAAGTAATCTTCAGCATGTCTTTGCATAAGTGTGCTGTCTATTTGAAATTTATACAGCACGTTGAAAAGTTATGGGCCTGCAAATGAAAGTATGGCTCGCTGGGGTAATGCCGAAAACGTGCAATTACGCGCGTTATAGCACGCTACGTGAACTTTACTGCTGTAGAATAGCAACGCGTATTTTTAGTCACACAAATTACACTTTCAACCGACACAACGGCCTGTTACCTATAAGGAATTATTTACCTGGCCTTTTCTTATTATATCACACAATTATAACTTCCAGTGTGCACCAAGCGTCCTCAAGCTCTTAAAACGCGTGTCAGCTTTGATGAATTCTGGATAAAGTTGGAGATAAAATGGCAAAACATCAATGTCGGCATTCCCCGTAGATCATCTATATTACTATTTGAGGTGACGTAGTTTCTGTCTATTACGAAGGTCGCGACATGGTGCTACGTAGCGCGGGTTACAGATCACACCGTTGCACCTACCGCGCTGAAGTTTGCGCAACTTATAGATCAAGGAAGCGCGACGTGCCTTTGAGGGGTCTCAGCTCGATCGGGTCGATAGCGAGCGCGTGGCGCGGGCCCGAAAAGTGCAAATTCGCGTCATAGACTTTACATGTATAAATCGGCTTGCAAAAACGGGCGAAAATGGCCAAATTTGCCCGACACGGGTCCGGTCCCGGTGCAATATCTCGGTAACCGTGGGCCCGACCGGTACGGGGAAAACAGCATCGTGTAGAGAATCGAACGGGCTATCGAATGGTGTGCGGTGCAGGGGTTGGCACGCGCCACGTGCACCGGGGAGGACACTTTCTTTTGAAAAATGGACGTTTTGGACGGATTTTGGAATTTATATTAATTTCAGGTGATCGTCAGACGGAATGAGTTGAAACAGCGCCTATTAGCAATAAAAATGTACCGTCTCTCATGGAAAAATTGTGAAAAGCTAAT